GCAACGACTGCTATCCAGTGCATCTTTCTGACGAGGACGATGCAGTAGACTCTTTTAACAAAGGCCCAACCGTTCCGTATTTGGGCCTTTCCCCTTGTACATACTACATAATCCTATCATCAAACTGAAAATCATCAAGGATGCAATCCAACTATTCTGGGGCCAATCGTTTTTGCTTTGCTCCTTTTGCTGCACCTCTAGCAACAGCATTTTTAATTAAAGTGCGATATGTTGAAACAAGCGTTTGGCCAAATGCCACATTGGTGATAGCACAGTCGGGGTACAATAGATCACCATCACTAGTCTATCGTAGCCTCATCAGTGCCAATATCTCATCAATGTGCTGCATCAAATAAAAACAACAAGATAAGTGTGGAAAACATAGGCAAAAATAAGGAAAATTAAGCGAAAATAACTCACCGAGTCCTCAAGCCACATGCCCATCGTCAACAACTTTTCAAACCATTCCCGGGGATAATCCCCTGTCTTACACTTTATATGGGCATTACTTCCTAATTCATTGTAATAGGCATAGAAGAGTTTTTTCTGTTCCTCTATTGACCTATACAAATCGACATTTGAGTCCATTTCTGCATGCCCACTTCCTCCCCTTTCCTCCATTTTTACATCCCCGCTTCCTTCGCCTCCCACCTCACCCTCCTCCATTATCACTGCCCCACTTCCTCCACCAACCTCCCTACCCTGCTCCATTTCTAGTTCTTCCTCTATTTGTTTCTTAATTTTCCTCTTCTTTGCCTGTGTCACTATCATGTAAGGAAATTTGACAAACTTGCTCTTTCGGCTCTCTCTTTTTTGCCCAGTTTGTGCTTCGACCGCCTTTAATTCTCCACCAATTTCCTCATCCACTGTACCTACTTTCTTTGCTAGCTTATCCACTTTTTCCTCCAACCTTTTCATGCACTCTTCCATCTGGTCAAACCTGTCATAAACTGCTATTGTAAAACTCTGAAACAAGCCGTTTATGAGGTCAACCACCTCATTCTACCGATGCCAATGTCTTGGTAAAGTGGTACTTGTTGTACCGGTTTGCTAAGGCATACGAACCTCTTCCTCCCTCTTCTCCTCCTCCTCCTCCTCCTCGGGCCTCTCGTCGATTGGAGCTTCATCATCCTCGACGTCAACCACGTTGTCAATCAGTGGCCCTGCAACTGCCATCACATACTTGACCCCTTATAGGTCCCGCATCAGGTGGTCTATCTGTTCATTCCTTTCATCCTCCAGTGCACTGAAAGATGTGACATAGTCCTCTTCCGCTTCATCCCCAATAGAGGTGAGAAAGGGACGGACAACTCCGTGCAATAAGAAATAAAATCAATCAGATTGAAGTGAAATTTTAAAGCAACTGCATATTCAAAAGCTTAATCCTTTAATCTTACCCCAGCCGCTTCAATCTCAATGTCTATTTGGTCGTAATCCCAATGGGTACACTTCTCGACATGTTACCACAACATCTTAGGAATTTGCTGTGGCACATCCTAACTCTTCCCCTTCCCCCCCGCCTAAGCAAAGACAGGGACGGCCTCATACATCCAAGCCTACATTGTACAAAAACAATCCATATCATAATTCAAACACATATATTACAAAAAGCTATTAATATTTACCTGCATTGCCCATGGGAAGCCAAACAAATTATACATGCTTGGTTTATCCTTCCCGACGCATTGGGACTGCTTTAACGCCATATCTGGTTTGCTCAAATGATATCCGTCCCCACGAATAAGAACTAAAGAACTCCAAGTCGCTTGCAAACAACAACAATCATTCTCAACAGCTTTTGTTGAGTCACCAGCCAATAAGATCGAATGTAAAAACAATAGCAAGCACACTTTTATCTTCTCTCCATCATTAAACCGAACTGTTTCTAGCCTCTCCTCTAAACCGTGTCGTGTAATAGACTTTGCCCCCTACAAAACCTTGTTACAAAACTTTATGGCTCTCGCACTCTTCCTTATTGCATTTGCCTCTCGCTTATCTGGCAATTTCCCACATCCTAAGCCTGTCCCCAAGGCATATTCCATCATCCCAAAATGTAGTGGCTTTCCGCCCACCACGAATCACATTTCTTTATTTTTATTGCATTTTACTGAGTGCAGCAACATGTAATGCACTCCCTGCCCCCAAAACATCTTTTTCCAATATGTTCCGATTCTTAAAAACCGACTGAAACAAGTGTCTTCGAAATCTCTTGCACTTCCAGCTAAAATCTCCTTTATTCTGTCAAAAACATCACAACTCGACCTGACCGTCACACTGGCAGGGAAGTAGGGTACATTATCGCTTACAAGCTCCAACACAATCTGCACAATCGATATAAACAACATGTCAGCAACAAAAATAAACCAAAACAACTAATAAACAAAATATCAACAACAAAAAATTACCTCTGTGGTCACTTAAGCGATTTCGGATCGCTTAAGAGATCTTGACTCTGCCTCGTGCAAGATCTCTTAAGCGATTTGAAATCGCTTAAGCAACCAAGAGTAAACTGAAAGAATCGCTTAAGCGATCTTATATCTAGATTCTGCCTCAGACAGGATCGCTTATGCGATCTGAAATCACTTAAGCAACAAAGAGTAAACTGAATCAATCGCTTAAGCGACCATGAGTAATACTCCCAAAACAAATGATTAATCACTTAAGAGATTAATCGCTTAAGCGATACAAATGATCGCTTAAGCGACAGTGCAGAGCAATACTCCCAAAAAACATATGCACCCTTTCTTCGCCAGCCTCCTCGTCGCCTGTATTCTCGCCGACCTCCTTCTCGTTGCCTAAATCCTCGGAAGACTCCTGCTGGCCTGTATTCTCGTTGGACTCCTCCTCCTTGCCTGAATTCTCACCTGACTCCTCCTCTTCAGAACCGTTTTGCGATTCTTCTCTCTATTGTTGTGCTGTCGTCAGCTCCTCTACCTGTGGACCACTTTCATTGATCGGATGATCCACCGCAGCAGCCATTGAACTGCTTGTGCTACCGGAATCTAGGATTCGAAGTGGCGTTGGGTTTTCCTCCTCATTGTCAATGTCAGCCATGGTTTTGGATTGAATTTGGTGTCAAAATTTGCAATTTCAATCGAAAATGTAGACTATATCACCGAAAATCGCACAGATTATGTTTAGGGTTCAAGAAATCGATTGGAAATCGCAATGTATCACCGAAAATCACAACTGTATTCCGTTTAGGGTTCAAGAAATTGATTTTAGGATTGAATATGGTGTGGAAATTTGCAGGTTTGATCGGAAATTGCACAGTCTCTGTTAGGTTCAAGAAATCGCTTAGGTTCAAAAAATCGATCGGAAATCGCGACTGTATCGCCAGAAATTACGACTATATTCCATTTAGGGTTTAAGAAGTTGATTTTAGGATTGAATATGGGTGGAAATTTGCAGGTTCGATTGGAAATCGCATAGTCTCCATTAGGTTCAAGAAATCGCTTTTTGCCCTAATGAGTTTTGATTAAGCGAGGTGAATAGTTGGGGCTCATTTTAAAATTTGAAAATTTAAAAACTTTCATTATTTATGATTTGTCTCAAATATGTTTTAATCTTTTCATTTTAACTCATTTTACATGTTTAACTCTGCCTAAATATGCCAAGTCAACTTCTCTAAATTTAAAAAAAAAAAAAGGAAAAGCATTTTGAAGGCCATTTTGTTAAATGCAAACTTGGGATGGCCGGGCAGCTAAATTTCCTCAAATCTGCAAGTTCCAAGGTTTGGTAAACCTGCAAGTTTCCACTGTGGTTTCATAAATTCTTGATTTTCATCGTTAAATTAACACTGGTAATGAATTTTGACATCTAACACAGTTGCAAACAATGCTATTACCATACTGCCTTTACTATTGATTACACCGCCACCCAACCACCATCATCATCACCATCCAACCACCACCATCACCACCCACCACCACCTCCCAACACGATCATGACCAAAACCCCAAATTCACCACCACTATTCCACCCATTCACCACCATTGCAATCCCTCTAAACCCCAAAGTCGGCCCCGTTGCCACCAAACAGCCACCACCAAATCACTCACAAATTCAGCCACAAACTTAGCCACAAACTCAGCTACAAACCCACCTGCAAACCCATCCAAAAACAACCACAAACCGAGCCCACCACCATTCCACCCATCCACCACCATCGCAATCCCTCTAAACCACAAAGTCAACCCTGCCGCCACCAAACAACCACCACCAAATTAATCACAAATTCAACAACAACCTACCACCCACTCACAAATCTAGAAAATGAACGACGATTGCGAGTAGGAAACGAAAAACTGTGCGACCTGAGATGGTAACCGGTGTGTCAAGGGTGAAGAGAGAAGATTGATGTTGGCGGTGGATAGTGGACGGTGGACATAGCACAAACACAACAAACTTAGGCGTGTGTCACGATGGAGAGATATAGTCGCAAAAAGTGGAAATGACAGCTGTTGGTGTACTACTGGTGGGGGTTTTGAAGAGAATGGTGAGGGGAAGATGATGATGGAGTCAGGTGGTTTAATCAACACCAGATTTTGGTGCAAAATCTGACTGGAATCCAACTAAAATCTGTGAGAGAAAGGAAGGAGTAAAAGGAGGGAGAGAAAGGGGTGGGACGGTTGTGTGCTGACCATTTTACCTTTTAACAATGAAATTAAATGATTGTCTATTAATTTAAAGATGGGAATCTAGAATTTATGAAACGATGGGTGGATACTATAGATTCGCCAAACCTGGGTGGGTAAATGACGGTTACGCTTGCTATGCCTAATAGGATAGTTAAATTCTTTACATATATGTAAATTCTAGGGATATGATAATCCACAAGGCAAGTGAGCCGACCGCTGGAGCTGATAAGGTACGTTGTCTTCTATCAGTAAACAGGCCGTTGACAAAAAGTCAACTAGTACATAATCAAAAAACCAAATCATCAGTTCTCACTTATCAGCTAATTCATTTATCCCGATCTTTCCTTCCTCTCAAAGAACATGGCAGAATCATTTCCGTCCACCATTGCAGCAAACATTTTGACGAAGATGGATTTTCTTGCTTTCGCAGAAATACGCTTGTCGTCGAGGGTTCGAAAAGAAATAACGAAGGCCAAACAAATCTTATGCGATGTCAAAGACGCAGTATTGAACGCTGAGGCACAACAGGCACAAAACTGCAAGCTGCATATTGGGCTTGAAAAGCTTTCAGAACTGTTGTATGACGCTGAGGATGTGTTGGATGAATTGAAGTGTGAAGTACTGGCGAAACAGGTAAGCAAACTCAGTGCTATCATATATTATGGAAAAATCAAGGATATTAGGAAAAAATTAGATGAAAAAGCAGCTGATATTAGGTCTATAGATGATGAGAATAAGCAAGAGGTTAGGCGTGTTTATTCAGGAGAGATGGGGATGAACAATTCCTTTGTGGGTACTTCCAAAGTTTTTGGGAGAGACGAAGATAATGAAAAAATTGTACGCTTTTTGACGGAACCAAACAGAGAAGATGTAAGGGTATCTGTAATTCCTATAGTTAGAACTGCTGGTATGGGAAAAACCACTCTTGCAACTCTGGTGTATTGCAACAAAAGGGTAGACGAAACCTTTGATTTAAAAATGTGGGTACGTGTACCTGAAAACTTTGATATAATTAGATTGATGAAAGAAACTTATACTTCTGCAACGGGTCAAAATCCTGCTGAATTATCCGTCCATGAATTAGAAGACCGTTTGCTAGAGGCATTGGTTAGTAAGAAATATTTGCTCGTCTTAGATAATGTGCTGAATGAAAATAAAAAGAAATGGGTCAAATTCAAAAAATTATTGATGCAGGAAGCCAATGGGAGTAAAATTGTAGTTACTACTCGTAGTGACCAAGTTGCATCAATAACGGGCACCGTTCCAGTTTGTAAACTAGGCACCCTTCACGATGGAGAAGAGGAAAGAAATCTAGACCTCGATGAAATTGCTGACAAATTTGTGACAAAATGTCGTGGCATTCCCATATCACTAAGAATTTTAGGAACCCTACATTATGGAAACATAAATAAGCATGATTGGTTGCTAATTCATAGATCACGACATATGGAAGTCAGTACAAGAGGGAAATAGCATCCTACCAGCGTTGAAATTGAGTTATGCTCATTTGCCATCGCATTTGCAAAGACGTTTGGCATATTGTTCCTTATTTCTGAAGGACTAATATTATAATAGTGATTATCTAGTCCAGCATTGGATAGTGCATGGTTTTGTTGCAACTTACCATGAAAATGATGAGTTGGAAAATGTTGGATTGCAATATTGGAAGGAATTGATTTTTAGGTGTTTCTTTCATGATATTAACGTTCATGGTAATTATTTTACATTTAAAATGTATAACTTCGTTCATGATCTTGTCAAGGAAGTGGCTCAAAGAGAGTGCAAGGTGATAGATGTAAAACCCCATTCCTGATTTTAGTTAGATCATGAATTGTATTTAGTTAATTAATTCTTTTTTTAATTTGATTTTTGGTATTGTGGTAAGATAGGGGTATTTCTATCAGTTTTTAAAGCTGCGTTAAGGGGGTGAAATCGAAAAAAAATAAATCCTGATGGGTTTGCATGTATCAAGAGGGAAAAATTTGGACATCTTTGCTAGGGAAAGCTTATGTGGCGGGGTTAAACTGAAATTTAGAGAAAATGGGGGGCAGAAATAATTTCAGAAAGCTGTTTTTATTTAAAGAAANCGAAACCTTTGATTTAAAAATGTGGGTACGTGTACCTGGAAACTTTGATATAATTAGATTGATGAAAGAAACTTATACTTCTGCAAACGGGTCAAAATCCTACTGAATTATCCATCCACGAATTAGAAGACCGTTTGCTAGAGGCATTGGTTGGTAAGAAATATTTGCTCATCTTGGATAATGTGCTGAATGAAAATAAAAAGAAATGGGTCAAATTCAAAAAATTATTGACGCAGGAAGCCAATGGGAGTAAAATTATAGTTACTACTCGTAGTGACCAAGTTGCATCAATAACGGGCACGGTTCCAGTTTGTAAACTAGGCGCCCTTCACGATGGAGAAGAGGAAAGAAATCTAGACCTCGATGAAATTGCTGACAAATTTGTGACAAAATATCGTGGCATTCCCATATCACTAAGAATTTTAGGAACCCTACTTTATGGATACATAAATAAGCATGATTGGTTGCTAATCAGAGATCACGACCTATGGAAGTCAGTACAGGAGGGAAATAGCATCCTACCAGCGTTGAAATTGAGTTATGCTCATTTGCCATCGCATTTACAAAGATGTTTGGCATATTGTTCCTTATTTCTGAAGGACTACTATTATAATAGTGATTATCTAGTCTAGCATTGGATAGTGCATGGTTTTGTTGCAACTTACCATGAAAATGAAAAGTTGGAAAATGTTGGATTGCAATATTTGAAGGAATTGATTTTTAGGTGTTTCTTTCATGATATTAAAGTTCATGGTCATTATTTTACATTTAAAATGTATAACTTCATTCATGATCTTGTCAAGGAAGTGGCACAAAGAGAGTGCAAGGTGATAGATCTCACAATCCATTATCGTTCCATAAATGCTCGACATTTGTCATTTATTGGTTGCGAAAATTGTATTCCAAATGTTTCATTCATTTCGAACAAGTTGCGGACCATCAATATGCAAAGTATCCAATTTGAGCAGGTTTCTGAATCCTTTGTTAACACATGGATATCTAATTTTAAGTACGGCAGGTTGTTGTGCTTGAGTGGTCTACAATTTGAAGGGCTACCAGATTCTGTCGGTGCATTGAAACATTTGACATGTCTTGACTTATCTTGGAATTTAAGTCTGAAGAAACTCTATGCAAGTATTTGTAAACTTTGGAGTTTGCAGATCTTAAGACTTCTTGGTTGTTCAAGGCTTAAGAATTTTCCTAATAATATGGGAAAAATGATCGGCCTCAGATATTTTGAAATGTCTACAACAGATAGGCATCTACCACAAATTGGAGNTTTGTAGCATGATTTATAGAAAACATTGTCTTTAGAAGCATAAGCATTTACAACTATTCTTTAAGTTCTCATAAAAGAATTTTCAGCATTTAGTGATGAGCTAGGATTCAGAAATTGTTGTCAGTTTAATTGATCAGATTATAATACTTAGAACAATTAGAAATGAGTTATGCATGCATACATGGATGATTAGCTACCACCATAAAAGAATGTTCATGGAATCATGTTGTTTTCTGTATTTTATAAGAACCATTGCATACCATAACTTTTGTTTGACGAATGTTTTGCAAACTTCCCCTTTCCCCCACTCACTGAGTATTTTAGCTCACCCCCTTTCAAAAAAAATGTTTTCCTCCCCCCAGGTTTACAAGGAGATCGTGCCGAGCAATGAGTCACCGCTCAAGGTTGTGCCACGCGTCGACATCTTTTTATGTGGGTTTTACATTTACCTCGTATTGTATCTTTGGACTTTCGTTTCAAAAACTCACGTTTCCCATCATGTATTTCCTTTTTTTTTTTTTTATGTTTCAGAATGTGTTGTATAAGTGGAAAACCTGGTACCACAGGTTTCCCTAAATTTTTCTTTTGTAAAACGAAAGATGGTGTACGTTTTTTTTTTGAGATGTTGGAAATGAAAATACTATGATGTTATTCAGAAAAAGTAAGTTCTTTAACAGTTTTCACAGTTTTTCTATATGGCACGTCTCGGGTATCCGAGTCCTGTGGGAGCGCTGGGATCCTACGGGATGAGGAAATTCGGGACGGGTCGTGTCAACTTGGTATCAGAGCATGGTTTTCGATTTTTAAGGGCATTTTTTTGAAAATTTTACGCATGCCAATTTGTCCCTAAATGAAGTTTATTTCCGTCCATGAGTTTTTTTTTTAGAAACAATGTGTTTATGTTTTATAGATATCAGCATGAGTCAACGTGGCCAGCCTCGCACGAAATCCATGAGAGAATTATTAGTTCCTAGAGTGCTCAGGAGGGTGAGTGAGCCTGGGGAAGAGAGAGTAGAAGAGTCGGGTACTCGCCGGTCAAGACCTCAAGGACCCTAGGAAGACGAAGACTGAAGGCAAGATAAATGTTCAACTTTTTTTCTTTTTCCAAAACTTAGTATGTGCAAACTTTTTTAAGTAATACTATATATATAACATGATATGATAATAGATGATTGGATGAAAATTTATTTTTAATTTAAAATTAGTTAATCATCTTTTATCACGTCATATTGTATAAGAAATATTGTACAAAAATGAATAAAATAAAAGACGATATTAAGCCTGAAAAAGTTACAAAGATGCATATAGAGACGATAATGAAAAACAAAGAAGTACACCAAGTTAAAAAATGTTAAACTATGGGACTTAATCAGCTCTTGAGGTTTGTAACAAGTATTCAATTTCTAAAATCTGCAACCAAAGAATTTCGGAAACAGAGCACCTTGAGACACACAAAATTTATCAACATACATTTTCAATTGAAATCGAAACAAGTAGAACAAAGAAATACTTACATTAACCAAGCTGGTGGAGGACAGAAACTGCTTAAATGGCTTGGTAATTTCGAGAGGCGCCTGACCATACTATTCTTTAAGTCAGAAATCCAAGTACCTTGTCTCGGATTGTTGGGATATTTGTGACTTGCTTTCCTGTTCTAGGTACTGGTTAGAAACTAAAATTGTTTTCGTTCTGTTTTATATACTGGATTTATGGTGTTGTGTATTCTTGTATATCATATTTATGAAATTACAGTGAATTTCTATCATCCGTGAATGTAGGCAGATTATGTCGAATCATATAAATATCGTGTTTCTTTATGTGGTGTAATCTTATTTTTATGTTGTTCATCCCGAACTTATGTTTTTTGCTGCACGATCTCCTAGCATGGATAACCATCATCAGTACTATCACCTGCATAATAATTAATAAACACAGCCCTCTTTCAAGCTCGGGAACTCCTTAACCGAAGAGAATATGGACAACAAATTTCTCCCACAAACAACATTCTATCTTCCATTTGTGTACTCAACATTACTGTCTCCTCAAAATGTTGCATCTTTCTGGTGCGTTTTTTGTCTGCAAAATGAAATCATCTTGTCCAAGATCTTACGACTCAAACAATCTTTTGACTATATAATATATGATTTACTGAATTTTCTAAAGTACACATACATCATGAACTTTCTTTGAACTCCACGAGCTTGTGCCAATTTTGGCCAAGAATTTGGCGTTATGGTGCATATCCATATCCATTTTGAGCAAACTAAGTTGTCTTTACAAATGCATATTAAGTTGTGTTTTAACAAAAACCTGAAACATCAAACCCCCAAGATTTTTATACAAACTAACAACCAATTGTTGCTTACTAAGTAGGAAGAGAAAGTCAAGCATTCATTTCACCATTCTCTGCTTGATTGGCGGCATTCGCTTCACCCTTCCATGCTTGTCGACTGACAATCAAACCATATCCGCAAATGTTCACTATGCTTCCTTCTTTAACCATCATAGCAACAAGCTTGGGATGTTTCCTCACTATCATCTCCGCTGCCTCTTCTCTGTTTCTCCCCAGTATTGACAGTGAGCTCTTGCCTGTTTTTGAAGTTAACAACCATATATACAAACTTACACATATATATCAGCCGTTTTCTCTTCGGAAATCGGAACGACACAAAATTCAGAAACAGAACACATGAGTTGAAACACAGAAAAATATTCTTGATAATTGACAGATTTCATCTCATTTCAACACCTATACAAGATTGAGCAACACAGAGAAAGTGGAAATGGAATGGAAACGACTAGAAAAGAGAAATGTTTGCTTCAACCAAGCTGGAGGAGACTAGAAAAGGTTCAAATAGCCTGGAAAAACAGAGAGTTCCCCAACTACATGATCTTTGCAGTCACAAATCCAAGTATATTTTCCGGGGTAATGGGCAATCGACCTAAAACCTGCATATTACACACAAGCCGCGACCTCCTTCATCGAAAACGAATATGCATAACTACTTTACCCACAAACAACTCTCTATCTTCCAACTCTGATCCATCCACAACTGGAACCCATTTTTGGTTCTCTTCATTAAGCTTAAAAATTGCGATATTATACTCATCATAATCATCCTCGCCGTCCTGGAACTGAACAATAAAAAACAAATCATTATTCAGCCCGATCAAGTATAGCATCGCACATTCGTAATACAACTGCACCTTTCCCGCAACTCGAGTAACAACCAAAGATTTAGGATCCACAGTTACAGTATAGCCCATGGTGAGCACTGCATAAAACTTGCGATCATGATAAATATCCTCAACAAAGAACTCGGGAAATTTAAGTTCAATGTCGATTTTACTCCATTTCTTGTCTAAATTTCTCCAGATTCCAAGTTCTTTTCCATAACTATCGCTCGCCATAACAGTAAACTCATCCTCATTCTCATCAAGAGATGAAGAAAATATCACTTTTGAAAGCAATTCAACAGTTGATTTAAGTTCGTATGACTTGGTTATTTCTGTAACCCGATAATCCAATAGATTTAATGACTTTGGTAACCAATTGGACAAGTTTTGACATTCTGAACCAGTAATAGGATCAATGATTCGGACTGTACCTGGGCTCGGTTCTTGGACTTTGACCACCCACGTTTGTGGAGTTTCTTCGTCGTGGGTTTGGGAGGTTTTGTTGAGGGGCTCGATGACGTAAACAGTGGAAACCATGAAGTCAAAGATGTCTTTTTCATCTAGGTTTGTACCTTTGAGGAAGTCGGTGGTGGTTAGAATCGAGTGTGGGAATGGGTATTGTTCTGAAGGAACAGCAATTGTGGCGCGAAATGAACGACAAACGGCGCGAAAACGGAGGATATCGATTTGTGTAGGGAGAAGTTTTACGATGGAGAAGAGGAGGTCTTCAGGAAGTGTGCTCCAATCGGGTTCGACTCTGGCCATGGCAAAGAAGAAGCAGGAGGAAGACGAAGACTGAAGGCAAGATAAATGTTTAGCTTTTCTTGAATCTTGATGGAGGAAGACGAAGACTGAAGGCAAGATAAATGTTTTAGCTTTTCTTGAATCCTGATGGGATGCGCTTTTAAGTTTTGAAAAACTCCGGGGTGTCCTTGAGAATGTTGCAAACTTGTCACTCATATGCAATTCCTGAGAACTAAGGGGTTTTAAGAAGATTTTTTATTTTTCGAAAACTTAGTATTTACAAACTTTTTTATACAAGTCACTTTCTCTCATAAACATGATGTGGTACCTTACAATTGGTCAATAAAATCTATTATTAGATAGACAAGATCTATTGCGAGTCTATCAATTATGAGCTACCACGTTGCGTTTGTGAGAAGGTTTATCAACATTGCATTACTGAAAATTGAATCAACGAATACATATAAAAATTCAACTCTAATGCTCAAAAAATAAAGGTGAATAATGTGTGCACTAAGAAGAAGCAGGAGGAAGACGAAGACTGAAAGCAAATATAAATGTTCAGCTTTTCTTGAATCTTGATGGGATGGGGTTTTAAGTTTTGAGAAACTCCGCGGTGTCTTTGTAAAATTTGCAAACTTGTCACTCGTATCAATTGCTGAGAACTATGGAGTTCTAAGAAGATTTTTGTCTTTTTCAAAAATTTAGTATGTCCAATCTAGTAATACTATACATATAACATAACGTGACAAAAAATGATTATGTGAAAGTTTATTTTCAATTTAAAATTAGTCAATCATCTTTTATTATGTCATGTTGTATAAGAAATATTGTATAAAAATAAACAAAATAAAAGATGATATTATGCCTAAAAAAGATACGAAGATGCATATAGAGACTATAATGAAAAACAAAGAAGTACACCATGTTAAAAAATATTAAACTATGGGACTTAATCAGCTCTTGAGATTTATAACAAGTATTCAATTTCTAAAATCTGCAAGCAAAGAATTTCGGAAATAGAGCACCTTGAGACACACAAAATGTTGGGAGAGAGCTTCCAGAACTCCTGTAATTCAACTTTGAGGTCCACAGACTATCATACAGCAAGAAAAGAACAAAACGAAAGTTCATATTAAGCCTGAATAAAGTTTCGGGGTGCAAAAATAATGAACACCATGTTCAATCAATATATTATCATGCAAAACTGTCTCGTTACACAATTCAGTTGTCACCACACTCGCGACCCATGCATGGATGCATACACGAATCAGCCATTTTCTCTTCGGAACGGAGACAAAATTCAGATAAAATTACTCTACAGATCAGCCGTTTACTTTATAGAGAGTACTAATCATGTACTCTTTACCGAGTTTAATAAAAGAAAAATTATGCAGCAGCCGAAAAGTTCAAACAAAACTAGGTCATGTTGTGGGATATTCCCACTAATGAAGTCACGGAGAAGAAACAGATAAACGGTCACCCATGGACAGCGGTCGGGACAATGCCCACTGACAGTTATTTAAAGATAACCAGCCCAGCAGGAATGCAGGTTCAACCAAGATAATGATTGGAAAAAACAGTCAAGAAAATCTGGGAGTTTTCCACCCTTGCCATCTTTTTAAGTTAACAATCCAAACATTTTCCTCTGGGTTTTATAAACTGATCAACACATATTCCTCTACATATTATATATTTTCGTCGTCAAAGGGCTGGAGGGCGTGAAGAGTGGACTCGGTGAGGACGAAGTGGTCTTCATTGTCTCTTGGAACTATTATTAGGTGAATGATCCAAAGTCTATCTGGGTATCGTTAAGGGGCTCGATAGAGCAAACAGTGCACTCCATGAAGTCAAAAGAGCTCATTTTCGTAGGTTTTGGGCCTCTAAGGAAGTCGGTGGTTACAATAAGTGTGGGAATGAGAATTGTAATTGTTGCGGAGCAAGAGGAATCATGGAGCAAAATGTGTGACAAACAGCTTTATGATTACGGAATTTAGGAAGTTATAAAGAAGATTAGTTTATGATACAATCCAGCTGGATGGAAAATTATGAATCATCCTTCATGTAGAAGCTAGCATGCATTGAAGTATCAATCATTAATTTTTTTTTAGCTGGTTTTTCCACCAAAACAAAATTTTCTTGTAGTTTAGTTTATGATACAATCCAGCTGGTTTTTCCACCAAAACAAAATTTTGCTTTGTTGTTTATGCATTGAAGTATCAATCATTAATTTTTTTTTAGCTTTAACGTGAATGCCCACATTTGAGAATATCTAATATATTCTTCTCTCTCGAACAGACAGGAAACGCTATATATCAACTAATTAAGCACCGCCAACATATTCTTAAGGTTGAGTAAATCATTATTTAAAGTGATGCATGTACTGAGAACTCGGGATATTGAAGTCCCATGTCGATTATACTCCATTTCTTGTCTAAATTTCTCCAGATTCCTAGTTCTTTCATATCATTATCTCTCGCGATAACAGCAAACTCATCATCATTCTCATCAAGAGACGATGAAAATAATAATTTCACGACAATATGCTGTTCATCAGTTGATACAAGTTGGTATGACTTAGTTATTTCAGTAACCCGATAATCTAACAAATTTAAAGACTTTGGTAAGTGATCGGACAAGTCTTTACATTCTGAACCAAAAATTGGATCAATGATTCGGACTCTACCTGGGTTTCGCTCTTGGACTCTGACCACCCACGTTTGAGGAGTTTCTTCTTCGTGGGTATGGGAGGTCTTGTTGAGGGGCTCGATGGCGTAAACAGTTCAGACGGTGAAGTCAAAGTGGTCTTCTTCATCTGGGTATGGGCCTTTTAGAAAGTCGGTGGTGGCTAGAATAGAGTGTGGGAATGGGTATTGTTCTGAAGGAAGAGGAATTGTGGCGCGAAATGAACGACAGACGGCGCTCAAACGGAGGATATCGATTTGTGCTGGGAGAAGTTTCACGATGGAGAAGAGGAGCTTTAGAAACTCTGCTCCTATCTGGTTCGATTCCCGCCATTGGAAAGGAAGAACTGGAGAAAGAAGAAGAGTAAACCGAAGAGAAGGTAAGGTTTTGCTGAAATAGTATCTGTAATGGGGTGTCTTTGCAAGAACTGCAAACATGCCACATGGTCCGTTAATTTAGAAAATTTAGGGGTACTACAGATTTGCCCATTTTTTAGATCGTTTTTTTATAAGTGAGTTAACCACTTTTTCCCACCCGAATGATGGTGTAATGACACTTCCCCACCCTTACACTTTTAAAATACCGATTTACTACCCAAACATTAGATACCATTAACAGTTTCAGTTAAAAGTAGTGATATTCATTGTAAAGACCAAAATACCCCCACCAAAGATCAATCCCTAATCGCCGGCCACCACAATTCAAAGTTTCATGCGCCTCAGCCCAAATTCCGGCCAATTCTAGCATCGAAAAACGACCCTATCACCACCATTCAACTCATCAATGTCCCCCCTCCAAAACCCCTCTCACCCCTCACACACAATCACTCCTCAATCGTCGGTGCCACTTGGAGAGAGGCAATTCATTGAGCACTTGGTGCGCGTTGATGAAAGAGTGTAAAATGGCCATCGTCAGCAGTAAGCCATAAACCCAACACAATCATTCCTTAAACATTCAATAAGCCTAAATAGCCGCAAAGTAACATCAAATCAAAGCCTATTTCAGAGGAAATTAAAAACCCAGTCACGACGATGAAGGCGAGTTCGGCTAGCAATCAACGAGCTAACAGATGATGGGGTTTGGAGGGTTTTGTAGTGTGGAGTTCAGTGGTTTGAATGGTGGTGTTGGATTGGATTTTGGCCGCCATTAGCGACCAGAATTTTGTTTAGAACATGAAATCCTAACAAGGCAATGGCCGGGAGGAGAGGCTTGGAAATGTTGGGGGTTTTGGTCTATGGAGGATGGGGAAGCTAGTGGAGGGGTGAAGGAAAGTCAACAATGTCAGATTCTGGCCAAAATAGTTCGAAGAATGGGACACGCGCATGAGGACTCCAATGGTGGGTTCGATGAGGATGGTGGAAGATGGATTTTGATGAAGGAGGCACGAGGAACAAAATGGTGGTGGCAAGGAATCACAAAAATGCCGAAATTGGCTAGCAACGCAAAAAAAGGCAATCGCGATTAGATGAGGGGAGATGACGAAGAAGATGATCAATCAATTGACATTGGCTGTTTTGCCCTTACTTATAAGACATTTTTGACCATTCTACCCTTCTTTATAATAAAATTTACAAACAGAATTGAGTTTTGGATAGTAAAGTGATATTTTAAAAGTCTAAGGGTGAGAAAGTGGAGAAAAAGTCATTAACTCTTTTTTTAACCTTTTATTTTTACTTTTTAGCGCCCACCTAATTCATCTTGAGTTCTTCACCCACTACTTTAAAATTTATTTTTTGTTTTGACAAATTTAACCTTCTTAATTTAAATTACTAGAAATAATATTATATTTTTTAAAAACACTCATACTACATTTTATATTTTTCTTTTAAATTTTAATATTGAATCTTACATAAACTCTGACTCTAATTTTTTGTAATTATTGAAACCATTTGTTTTATTTCAAATATTTGTTTGTACGAAAAATATAACTAGATGAATTTGAATCTAAAGAAGAAAAAATAAGTTGAAATTAGGAAATCGGCTACAAAAAAAAAAAAAAAAGGCACATAAAAAACAAATCATTATTCGCCCCATCAAGTATAGCATCCAATATTCCCAATCCAATTGTAGCTCTTCTGCAACTCGAGTAACAACCAAAGATTTAGGATCCACAGTTACAATACGGCCCATGGGGAGCACTGCATAAAACTTGTGATCATAAATAATATCCACAACTGAGAACTTGGGAAATTTAAGTTCCATGTCGATTATACTCCATTTCTTGTCTAAATTTCTCCAGATTCCTAGTTCTTTCATATCATTATCTCTCGCCATAACAGCAAACTCATCATTCTCATCAAGAGAATGAAAATATCAATTTTACAATATATGCTCTG